AAGATCTGCCAAACATGTTGCTGGGAGCAGCCCATACAGGGTCAGCTGCATTCACTGCACTGAATGTTTCTGAAGGCACTGCTAAGTGCTCTGGAGGATTTCAGGATGCACAGAGACGTGGGCTGACCCCGCCATCTGGGTCTTAGAGCTTCATTGAAATATTATTCACTATGAAATATGACGTTGTGTGATTTCTCTTTGTTTTGCTCTTTTAATTTGTCTTGTGCTAAAGTGTATCGTACCAGCTAAAAGTCAGAATTTGTCATCAACTTGAACATGGCTGATAAGAAAAAAACTGACTCTAGGAAGGTTTTTTTATTATTTTTCTTTTTTTATGTATATATATAATTTTTCTGTGCCCCATTAGCAGAAATATCTGCAATGTTTAAGGTTTAATAAACCCTCAAAGGCCCAGACTGCTGGCTTCTTGCCAGTGCAACATGGAAATCATTAGAAAACATGTACATCTATAATGCAAATTCAAAGTTGAATCTGTTTGGTGGTCCCTGTAGAAGAGGAAGTTTTATCTATCTTTCTGTAGGCACCAGTATATAATTTCTTCATGTGTAGCTGTTAAGAGAGCATGCATACAGATGAGTTCTTAGATGTCTGATAGCAATTTACTTACCCAAAGATCCCATTTGCATGTGAGAAAGTAGATGCATATAGAGTCTGGGTTTTGTTTTATGCTTACATTGAGCCTTTAAGTCACTGCTGCTGAGTACATCCTTGGAATAATGAGCAGCGTTTGCAACTTCTTCCCCTAAAAATTTATATCACTTCTGCTGGCTTAACTCTGTAGAAAGTTACAGGGAGTATGATAATGTATTCTGCATTTGGATGAGTACCAAAAGGAACGGATTGAAGAATGCATGTTGCAATGATGAAACAAGTGCTTTGGCTAAAATCCTTGTCTATGAAATGAGGTAATGGTTCTATGTGTTACTAATGAAGCTGAGATTTGACCCTCGGTGTTTACCCCTAAGATCTATCCAAACAATTTTTTCAGACCTGTGGCTGAGGGCAGCTCCGTGATCATTACTGAGTCCTTGCTTTTAATTCCATAGAATGGTTAAAATTATATGGCAAAGTTTGTATCTCACAGTCTGTTTTGCCCCAGCTCTTGCAGTACCAGTATTTTTGGGCTGACTGAAACATTTGTAGACTGAATGCATCACAGCTTGAGCACAGGTTGTATATTACCTTATTGTGATGAACTAATCCAGAGCTTCCATATGCTCTCATGGTTGTCTGCAGTACAATAACACAGGACTTTTTTACATAGAGTCTGGTTGAATTTGTCCATGCAAGGTGTACTTTGGGATTTATTTCAATATTTCCAATTAATGGGTAAAACAAAACCTCACAGAAATGGTAGCTGTTGAGTTGAATTGTTCTGTCTTAGTTGGTTACTACCTGTAGGCCTAAGAAAGCAGCTACAAACCATCTAACTGAAGAGAATTACTTGTCAAGTCACAAAGAACAGGAAGAGAAAACTTAATACACCAAAATGTTTCAAAGAATTACTGTTGCACAATATGGTATGTTATATTGAGCTGTGTTCACTAAATTAAAGAATAGCCATTACATAAATCAGCTCTGCAGCATACCTGGAAGCAGTGCAGGATTAACTTATTCTGATATGTTTCTGGAAAAAACAACCTTGAAATGACTAAGTCATTTCAGATAAAAAAATATATTTAGATAATAGGTAATTTCTTTCAATCTTCACGAGAAAGAAAGCAAGTTTCAGATTAAATGATCAATTTCCCTGCCTTTGGTTATTAAAATGTATTTTTCTTAATAAGTGTTGGAAGAAAAAGTGAGTAACTATATTTCAGTTTATTGCAGATGCACATAAACCTAACAAAAACATCTTTGAAATAGTATCAGCTATATCTAAAGTACAAGTGCAAGCAACAGTCAATCGCATTTTCATTCCAAGGATTCTTGGATAGAAGACTTAATTGTTTGCTGATGAACAGAAATAAAGAGATTGTCATTTTAAAGAAAATCTTAGTTTATCACCAGCCTTGTTTTGAATTTGGATTTTTGTACTGTAATTCTGACACTGAAAATTAGATCCAACCAGTATCTGAACATATTGCACAGGCAAATCTGTAAATATCATACTACATAATAGTATGAGTAATAATATCAAGTCCTTTATGCCCTGATATGTGATTTGGATCAGATTAGAAGTTTTCTGGTGACATGTTTTTTTCTTGGAAAAGGCAGATATGTTGACATATTTTCATGGGTAAAGTACTTGTTCGAGTTAATGTTCAAGAAAACATGAAGTTGTGATGGGCTGCTTGCTTGTTGGGAGTCTGGGGCCACCTGGATGCATTGCTTGAGAAGGAAAGCAGCTGAAGAGCAAAGGGTTTGAGAGCAAAGTCAAAGCCTCCTGCTTTCATGTGTCATGGCCAGGAAGATTGGCAAGATGCGAATCCCAGCTCCCAGATTATGACCAGCAGTAAGACCTGGATGTCTGCAGACTCCCATTTCTACTTTTCAGCCAACTGGGGCAGCACATTGAAAAACAAAAATTAAGATCAGAAATGTTCTTTAGAATATAAGCATCAGTCCCTCCCATTACAAAGAGAAGTAGCTGGGACGATTGAGCTAAGAAGACCCTGCTGTAGTCCTTAAAATATTTCACAGAGTTGGCAATGTGTGATGAATAATTTTAATTAGCCAAAACCAGGCTAATATATGTGAACATCCTCTGTGTATCCCAGACAGTTTACATTTTGCAAATTGTCTGCTTCTGCCAGTATGTCAGCCTATCAGATAACAAAACTACCACATAAGGTAGTTCTGCTGTAAACTGAATGTTTTATTTTTCATCAAAGAAAGTTTAAAAAAACAGATGGAGAGTATAAGAGCTCATGGAAACCATTGTGATAATACATCTAACAGTTTCCTGAACAAGACTACACATCCTGCTGGATTGGAGTTTGAATAAATTCATGGTTGTCTGAACCCATCTGAGTAGACATACCCTAGATCCTCACCATTCTTTGCCCTTCAAATGCCAATAAATCTAGGGAGGAAAGATATCCCTACAATACAGGATAATGCAGCTGTAGTTATTGGAAATGCTAGAACCTCCTTGATATGAAAACTGTGTACTTCAAATAAGTGCATTAGTGCATAGCACAAATATTTTTCCCTCCCAGTCATAATGTGGAAACTATTTAAACAGAAAACACTCTGAGCCTTTAAAACAGTTTGAATCCTGCATTATTTCTTATTATTTATCCCTTTGAGAAATTATACATTCTCATCTTTACTCAAAGACTTTCAACAGAGCAACTTCTCTCCAGCATGCACTATGGTCACGACCATTGCTGAGGTGACAATAGAAAATGATGTTGCAGCAGCATCATTTTGTGGTTTTTTTGAAATTTCCCCATGTATTTGTTGATCTCACTGTGTGTTAACTCTGTTGCTGGGTTAACACTATCCTAGCGTAGAAATAAAAACCTGCTATGTAATCTCTCATGCTTGATCGAATCAGTGTTATTTTAAGGTATTGTCAAAGGCACGAGATGTTTGTCTTTCAGTAAAGAACATGTTTTCACAAATATTACAAAATAAAACAATGGAAAGTGTGAATCATAGAAGGCAATACTCCTCTTTTTCTTATTTTTCTGTTTTTGCTGCTGTAATTGTTGTTGTTGTTTTTATTTGTTTTAGGGTTTTTTTCTGTGGATATAAAAATCCAACACATATCACAGAAAAGATGTGCAGGAAGTTTGAAAGTAATAACAGTACAACCAAGTTTGTTTTGTCATCTGCAAAGATTAATGGGCACAGTACACATGGTTGCTCAGAAGGGAGAGGGGACGGTTCAAGATTAGTACTGTTTCATTAATTCCATTTTTAGACTTTTTGCACTCACCTACAGTTGGCAGGCTTTTCTAAATAATGCTACCAGACTACAAAAAGGTGTAAAATGAAGAAAGGAGTGGTTCAATAAATAACTGAAGTCAACATTTACTGAATATAACATTACTTATGACACACAGTGTTTAGAGTATTTAATCAGGTCTCTTTTAAAAGCAATTGATATTCTTGGTAGTCTGTGCATAATGTTGTCAAGAGAGTTCGAAGGATGTTAACATTTCATTACTCTTGTCATTGATTTTTCTCTGCTTTCTTCACAACAAAAGTCAAAACGTGACCTCTTATTCCACTGAATTAATTCCAGAGCACTTGGCATTATTGACCTCCTAATGAAAATTAATGGCAACTCTTTTGATTCAGGCTTTCAAGTAGGCACACCAAGCACATTTGAAAAACAGACATGGTTATTTCTCATATTGAAGTGAAGTAACACACTATGAAGTAATGAAATGTACATTAATGCAACATTAAATTTGCAAATGTAAGTGCGCAGAATTCAAGAGACTTAAACTGCATTATCCGGAGTTGATGCTGCAAAGATTTAAGCTTGGCAATAATTTCAGACCTGGAGAGCCAAAGAGTTTTACAAGGCAGGTTACACATACACTTAGAACACTACAGCCTCAGGTCCTAAATTTATACTAAAAGTCTGGCAAGATTGAAATGTTTTTACTATGCAGCAGAGACAATTGCACATTATCTTAGGTATCTCCATGATTCTCTTTCCCCCTTTAAAGCTGGAGAAGAATGCAAATTCTTTTCAGTGACTTTTGTGTTCATGAGCTGTCACTCTGCAGCTGAGTGGATTTCCTTCATCCAGATTCTTACACAAATGTTTGTGCACAAACTGACTTCTGTGTATGGATATGGACCCCTCCTTCCTTGCATCTGTATAAATAAGGACTACTTCTACAGGAGGAAACAAGGAAGCTGAATGGATTCATATCTGGACATGGGGTGAAAGCTTACCTCTTTATCTAAACAGTTTCCTATTCTGGGAAAACTTTCCCAGAAATAACACCTGGGGAAATATCTGGGAAAGCTGCAAAAATAATGAATAAACTAATTTAATTTGTCTCTTTCCTTAGACAACAAAGACTATGATGCATATCTATCTTATACCAAAGTGGATCCTGATCAGTGGAATCAAGAAACTGGAGAAGAAGAAAGATTTGCTCTTGAGATCCTACCAGATATGCTTGAAAAGCATTATGGATACAAGTTGTTCATCCCAGACAGAGATTTGATTCCCACAGGAAGTAAGTCATGTCCTTATTCTTGTGTGTTTTCTGAACAGCCAATGCAGTGATTGTAGTGATCGTTTGAGTCTCTTTTCTATACCTACTCCTTCAGAATGCCATCTTTTTTCCCTTGTCTTAGAGGGTGGCAAAGATAAGCCAACATACTTAATGCATATTTCCAAGATAAGAGGATTATTATTTAGTAATTGCATTATTCTGATTGAAGGTGAGATAGTGCAGAAAGGGCATTGCATAAATAACGGTAATGAAAGACTCACTTTTTCATTGTTTTTTGAGAGCTTGCATCTCTAAGAATGAATACAGAGTTTGTTGTTTTCAGTTCCTTGTTTGGAAAGATATCCGTAATTCTAAGTATTAAAGAAATTAAGACACAAAGGAAAAAGTTGTGTTTGGACTAAGGCAATGGTTGACTAATAAAATTTCATCAGAGAAAAATAGTGAATTCTGTCAGTGGCCACTGCAGATAAATGTGTAGTGGATGTACTTGATCATTCTCAGACACTGAAAATTAGAATTGATTGGTACAAGTAGATCTTTTTCATGTTTCTCTCACCTATTCCAGCAGAAGTACAGTAATGCTTTTTAAGTTTAGTATTCTTCATAAGCTCACTGTAACCATATAGACAGCTACTAAGTTCAGTATCTTTTTCTAAAGGTAATAAGGGATACTTTCTATAGGAAAAGCTCAAAGAGTCTTGTGGATATTTTTTAAACCTACAGCAAACTAGATACTAATTTGCAGGAGACAACACTTTTGTTGTATGTGGTAGGGTCATGGAAGGAAAAGCAGAATCTAAGCCTACCATACCCCACAGAGTATCATTTGAGTTTGAGACTGAGCTCCTAAAGCACATAGATGCTGCTCTGCTGTCTATCTGGGTGACTTTGCCTTTTTAAAATAAAAAATCATGATGGACACAATTGTTTCAATACAGATAATGATACAAAACTGCAACTCATGAATAAAACCACAATCCATAGCACAAGTGGGAGTAGATGTTTCTCAGGATCAAAGAATGCTTTAGGTTGGAAGGGGCCTCTGGAGATCACCTTGTTCAACCTCCCCGCTCAAGCAGGGCCTCATAGAGCAGGTTGCCCAGGACCATGTTCTTCCAAGCCAGCCTGGCACATTTGCAAGTGATGTTTTTTCAGTGAGAACTTCCGGGAGTAGGGATTTGCCTCTGTTGTTTCTAGTAAGTCTGTGAGAGCAGACTGTTTTCTTAGATTGGTTTTTGAGCAGTTGTTTTGTTTTGTAGCCTACATTGAAGATGTGGCAAGATGTGTAGACCAAAGCAAGCGACTGATCATCGTCATGACTCCAAGTTATGTGGTAAGAAGAGGTTGGAGCATCTTTGAACTGGAAACAAGGCTTCGAAATATGTTAGTCACGGGAGAAATCAAAGTGATACTGATTGAATGCAGTGAACTACGAGGAGTTATGAACTACCAGGAGGTCGAGGCCCTAAAACATACCATCAAGCTCCTCACTGTCATTAAATGGCACGGACCAAAGTGCAACAAGTTGAATTCCAAGTTCTGGAAACGTTTACAGTACGAAATGCCTTTTAAGAGGATTGAACCCATCACAAATGAGCAGGTTTTAGATGTCAGTGAGCAGGGGCCCTTTGGGGAACTGCAGACAGTCTCCGCGATTTCCATGGCTGCTGCCACCTCTACTGCTCTTGCCACTGCCCATCCAGACCTGCGCTCCACCTTTCATAACACATATCACTCACAGATGCGCCAGAAACACTATTATCGAAGCTATGAATACGATGTACCTCCTGCCGGCACCCTGCCGCTTACCTCAATAGGTAACCAGCACACCTACTGCAACATCCCTATGACACTTATAAACGGGCAGCGGCCGCAGACAAAAACTAACAGGGAGCAGAACCCAGAAGAGGCTCACACAAACAGTGCCATACTGCCCCTCCTGCCACGGGAGACCAGTATATCCAGTGTCATCTGGTGACCGAGATGCAAGGGGCCGTCGACCCCCTTGAATAGGAGCAGAGTCTGCAGTCTGGTGCCTGGAACTACATCCTCGACTGCTGCTGTTAAACATGCATTACAATCGATAACATACGAGGAAAAACAGGGTCTTGTACATATGTTTTTGCAATTTCTTTGTAGCATCAGTCTTCCTGTTTTACCCATGTCTCTTCCCATTCACATTTTCGACTTTGTTTTATATGTCATTAGAATTTGTATATTTACATTTTTTTAAAAGAAGAGACTGCTGTATAGATAGGAAACTTTTTTGCTTCATTAGTATAGTTTTAGGTTTTTTGTTTGTTCGTTTTTAACCTCTCTTGGGAATGCTTGGACAAAGCTATGTTGATATCAGAAGCACCATCCATTTTGTTGGCCTGCCTAGCCTGATTCCTGAAGGCCATGCCTGCTGCAGCTCACTTCTTTTGGAGAGTATTTGTTTTTAGAAGGACCCCATCCCTCACTGAGAGTTCCAGTTTCATTTCTACTCCCGTAATGTGCACTGCTCCTTCCCTGCCCTTACAAAGACCCCAATTTGGGGTAACACTACAGTCTGATCATCTAACATGTAACTTGGTAGATACCTGCCAAACCACAGAATATACCCAATCTGTATCGGTTGCTTCACAGTAGTCACTACAGAGTGTGTAGAAACTAGAGCCGGTTTGTTTTTTGTTTTCTTGGGTTTGTTTTTTAATTATTATTTTATGAATGAGTTGATTGTATTCCTTTTATAAATATAAAAGCAAACCCTATTTTTAACACATCCTGGAAAAGTATCAATGTGGTTGTGGATTTTATTTTTCAAGCATTTATTTTTTTCTTTCCCCCTTTCAAAATCCTGCAAGTGACGTCATTGGCAAATGTCAGGCAAGTAAGACAAGTGAGGCAATAGGCACTGAAGTGCAGAGAGTCCTGCTGATATGTACAGAGATGACTTCCAAACCAAAGGGGAATAAAAAGACAGTGTTGTAGACGGTTTGTCATTTTGTATTATAGAAAGTGTTATTTTCAAAAAAAGTAAGAGCAAAACATTATTTTGCTGTGGATTACAGAGTCCCCTTGTATTTTAATGTTCAAAAAAATTGTATTTGCTTTAAAATGCTATATTCAGGATTAAGAACTCTTCTTTCATTTGGTTTTAGCTTGTAACGATAAATAAAACTTTATTAATTTCAACATGATTTCAGTAAGAACTCAGGCAGAAAAAATGACATGATACCAGAAATATAATTGTTTTCAGAATAAACTTTATTTATACAAAATTAATATTTAAATCAGACCTGGAAGTATTAAAACCAATTTATTCACTTTAATGAATAAATAAATTAGTTTTATTTTTATGTATGATTCTATCTTTGAGGAGTTGCAAATAATGCATGTACCATGGCTGACAGGGAAGAAAAAACAACCACCACTGTGTTTACATCCAGACATCTTTAAGACAAATTAAATAAGCACCTTGCTCATATTTATGTTTTAAACAATGGAAAAGTTCTTTCTGGTTTTAGAAAGAGAGAAGAGTGGTGCAGCTCTCCAACATATTCAGGCTAAGCTCCCTGCTAGTCCCTCCTAGCAGAAGCAGAAGTAGTTTTGCTGGCTGCAGCACACTGTCATGTAGTCATGGGTTTGATTTACCCTGGCAGAAATGCAACTGGTGTCCTGGTAAACAGGCCTTATGGTCTATTTATGTAATTAATTAGCTTTAGGTATTTTTATGGCAGCTGAATGATATTGGCCAATATAATGAATGTGTGGGGTTTGTTCATCCTGATTGTCACAATGAGAAAAGTATAGCTTATAATATTTTGGTCTTCTTAATGAGAAGTGAGCGGGGCAACTGCAGTTTGGGGGATGTTTGTGGGAGTAATCCAGAACTGACAGTGTGGGAGGAAATGACTATGCTCCTGTTGTGAAAGTCAAGAAATCTCAGTATCTGCATGAGAAGCTAATAGACCTTTGAGATGTGCACTGATTTTTATTTGCTAGAAATGTTTATTTCTCTGCGATTTTGCTCAAGCCCTTTTCTACAATCTGTTCTTTGTTACGGTGTCTCTCTCTGGACATATGCCAAACATCCACAAAATGGAAATGAAGCTGCCAAGTCAGATAAAATTTTAAGAGACTTTTGTACATTTGGTTATTTTCATAGTGTAAGAAAACTATTATTTATTTGCTCTTACAGACACCTGTCAGGCACTGATGGGATTTTCCTTCATTCATCTGGTTGCCAAATACCCAAACATCCTCTGAAAGCAATGCATTATTGTTTTCCCCTTTCCCTCGCCTTTCTATGCCCTGGGGTAAAGATTGGGATGTGGAATAAATGTAGGATTTAATTATCTGACCACAGTTACTTTCAGACAATTGTTAAGTGTTTTCTTAGCCACATTGGAAGTACTTTTATGTTGTTCTATTTTTAGTGTAGATTTAAGCACTTTGAAAAGCATGATTCAGGGATTGACAGATACTATTTGATATTCACACTACTTACAAAAAGTTTTTCTTATAGTGCTTTGTCATAATCTCAAATATAAGAAAAACAAACAAACAAACAAAAAAAGAAATAAAAGGAGAAGCTGTCTATGGCTTTAGAAAAATTCCTCCTTAGTATTCCTCTTCCGTGAACAGCTCGATGTGGGGAACAGGGAACGAAACTGTTGTGTGCTCACGTGCTCTTTCTTGGACAAAAATTCTATTGGAACGCAAAATAAAATGGACAAAAAAAAACCAAAACCAAAACCAACAAAACCTGTCATTGCCCTAGTGCTTAGGTTCCATCATTTTAGGTGAAAGTATTCCAGTTTCTGACAATGCAGCCTGAACTGTGCATGCAATAGCCACATATAAGGTTTAGCCATAAGCAAATAGCACTTTATTTTAAAAACTGCACAGTGTGATGATCAGAAAAACTTACTCTGCCTGGTCAGTAACTTTGGGTCTGTATGTGGTTTCTATGCACGTGAATTATCCAAGTGTGGTGCTCCATCTTTATAAGACTCTCTCTAATCAGGGTAGTCTTTGTTATAAAACTAAAGGACTTTGTTGCACAACTTGTGTAAATTCAGTATATAGGCTCTGCAGACAGCATTTATAGCTGGACAGAAACGGGAGAGTGTATATAATGCAGCTAATTATTTTGAAGGCAAAGTGTGTTGCTGGGTCTGATTCTGTTCTCAGTTGCAGCAGCATGATTTGAGAGTAAATCTAATAAAGTTGAATGAGTGCAAGATTGATTTCTGTGGGAGAGGAAAATTGGAAAAGCAAAGAGAAAAGGAATTCATATTTGCAATTGGGACAAGCTGAAATCTTGGTTGCAAGGAAAGTAGCAGCAAATGTCTTCTGAATTTTAGTAGGGACCCAGTTCTCACCTGGCAGCCAACATCAAACACTTTCAATATGATCTGGTTCAGAGCTAAATACTGTTAGGCTTAGATGCAAACTAAGATTTTTCTATTACTGCACAGCTGTGAAAACCATGTGTGTGTTACATAATGGGTGATAAGCAGCTTCAAAATAATTGGAAAGCTTGTTATACCCAACTGATAAAAATTCACGAATTTTTATTTGGATATTGAGCATTAATGACACATTTAAATTATAGATAAAGCAGTGGGATTTGGGGAAAACTGCCCTGGTAAACAGGATTTCTTCATTTTTAAATTAAAAAAAAAATTAGAGAGAAAAAAAAAAAGAAGAAGAAAATGTCAAGCTAGCAAGCCTAAGGAAAGTTTAATTAAAATCCAAAGAAGAAAAAAAATCACAGCAGTAAAGTAAGTTCAAAAATAAAAAGAGGCCAATGGAGAATAAAGAGCAAAATACCCACCTGCTTTTTGACTGTATTGTGGTTTCTTTTGTCATGCAAAGCTCTGTACTCTGGCTGACCTACATCAAGCAACTGGCTTTTTTGGAGGCCATCCAGATAGACCAGCAACACAAATATGTCCCTGTACATCTAGTACACTTCTGAATGATTTTTTTTACTTGCTGATAGTTTAGCACAGAGAGATTTTTGTTTGTCTTCTATTGTGATAAAGAGGATGGCAGAAATCTGCCAGTGCTAAAAAAATCTCCGTTAACAGACTTACGTTATTATCTAGAGTAACTATATTCCTTAACACCCACCCGTTATCTGATTTGCTGTTATTAGAACGCTTTTTTTAACCCAGTTCTCAGCTGAGAAATAGATTAATGTTGCTGGCAACAGAAAAAATGTAAGCAATCTCATAACAAAAAGTCTCCTTGTATAATGAATGCTGGAAGTTCCCTTGCATTATTTTTTCGTATAAAAACATCTCCTGACCTCCTAAATAGCCCACTGAGTGGAGGTTAAAGAACACCATTGTGTCTTTTAATTTCAAATTCATTTAATTTAGTATGGACACTGAGCTGTTGTTTTTGATGTAATTTTGCTGGGCTATTTTCCATTGGCTCTGGCTATATCCTCCAAGAAGATGTGTTGGCAGCATCACACTTCTCCACATACCCTTGACTTGATGTTTCAAAACTCAGAACCGTTGCCCTGGGGAGCAAAACTGATAGAAATGTTTCAGCTGTTAAGAGTTTTCCTATGCCTATTGTTTGTTTAACTTCTGCTTAAGACAAAGTTAAATCTTTGTTCTGGATTAATAAGCTCCGCAGGTAGAAGGCCTAGAGTCCACAGGGTCATGAAGCAGTCAAAGAAGAAATTACAAAGGCAGGTCTGATTCCTTCTTTGTAAAACATAGAAATTCTGGAGCTGTTCAGATTACTAAAAAATTAGTACATTTTGATTGAGGGCTCTTAAAGGGAAGTATTCAGTTGTAATTACAAACAGCCTCATTTCAAAAGCTTATTACCATTCTTACAGTAAATATCCAATACCTTAAATAACATAAATTCAGAAGCATTTAATAGTCAATTAAAAATATTTTTATTTGGGGGGATTAAAATCAACATGATTGTCTACAGTCTAAATGTTAAATAAAATAGATTATCTAGTACTGATCTTACGGGAACTACAAACATTGCTGGGTCACTAGCATTAGAAAAAAAAATTGAAGTAAAATTTGAGAGCTAAGAATTTGATGAGGATTTTATTGACATTTTTATAAAGACATGTCTCTTAACCATCAAGATATGACAAAAGGAACACACAAATTATTCAAAAAATAAAATTTATGAGCTTTTTAACCTTCTCTTTCTCTCTTTATCAAATATTAGCTCTTCTTAAAAATACAAAATTATTCAGGAAAAATTAATTCTTATCAAGACCATACTCTCAAACACACTCAGTGACAGATAAAGAAGTGCAAGCCAGAGGGAGGGGCTCCACTGCATTGCTGTGACTGAGAAGCTCCACAGTGGGGAGAACATGTGCGCCTGTGCACAGAGAAGGAGAGCCCAGGCCCCTTTGGCCTCGTGTTTAGTTACTCCTATGGAGAGTGGATGCAGAAGGAGCCATAGACTCAAATATCACCACTGCCCTACATGCTATAGGCAGCACACAGGGAAGGTGGGTAGTAAGTCTTGATGTTAATGACAGCAAACTTGAGAACTATTAGATGTCGAGGATACTCTATTGCAAAGTGGCAGGAAGAGCGGAAACAGCTCTGAAACAGTGTTTTCCATTTGTTCCACATGCAAAGTAAAAGGCACCATTGAGCAGAGAAAGAGGTCAGCTTGCTGGGTTAGTGTGCAATCCACTAACAGGAAATCCCCATCTCAATCAGCTAACACCACACCTGAGCACTCTCACAGAAATTTCCATCCTATCCTATCCTATCCTATCCTATCCTATCCTATCCTATCCTATCCTATCCCATCCTATCCTATCCATCTACCTGGCAGACTGCATTAGAAGTAAAAGCTTGCTGTGAGCCCTCAGGATGGGCTACACGTGAAAACTCCTTGCAGAGATGTTTAGGGAGACTAGATGTCTTCTCTCCTAAGAAGAGACTTACAAGAGCAAAGCTTTGATTTGTAAAAAGTTCGGGGTTTTTTTTTGTTCTCAGCACACCATTTTTTCAAATCCACTTAGAGTGCTCATATGGAGCAACATCCTGATACTATTCTGACCCTCTCTGAGGTAAAAAGAAAGTCTTGACAATGTCAGTTATTAGCTCAAAATACACCATTAAGCTGCAGAGTCTGCACACACACTTGAAAAACCAAAATAAATAAAGAAAAGCAAATTAGCAATGCAATTACTAAAACTATTTAAACCTGGTTTTAGAAATTTCTTTTTCAGGGAAGATTGTTTTCTCCTGATATTTTGTAGGAAGTTATGT